TATTTATCTTTGCTATTTAATTATTTTGCTTATTATTTTGTAATTGTTTCTTGGATGTAAAGTTGTTTAATTATTTAATTATTATTATGGTTAGTAATTAGGGAGTGTAACAACATGTATGTAATATTAAAATAAATTTAGATCACTTTTAAATAAAGATAATTAAAATAAACACGTCACACACGTAAGTCGATTTTAATCGCCGTCTCACTTCCTAAGGATATCCCTCAAGTTGCCTACGAATAATGGTTAAGTGGGGTGTATAAAGCAAGTCCCTCAAATAGAAAAATCATCAAAGTCCCTTATGGTTGCCTTTACGAATCGAGTCCCTTTCGAAAAATGATGATGGTCCCTTATATGTGCTTATTACATCCCACAATGGCCTTCAAAGTCAAATTGTCCCTCACATATCCCTTAACATCCAAAGTAAGGGCTACCTACTCCATTATAGTAGGGATAGTCTTACTAAGGAAAGGATAAAGAATAAGAAAGACCTTAAAACATTAGGGTAGGCTACTCCTAGGTACTTGCTCGCTTCAAAACTTTTTCACACTTAAACAAATTTCCAACAAAATTTTCAAACAAGTTTTTTTCACATCCATACACGGATTATTATTAAACTATTCTGAAATTTTTTGCTATTCACACACTACACTTTCAAAACAATTCAAAAGTGAGCTTAAGTACCTAAGAGCCCATGGATAACCATGGATGAAAAGGGTGCTAACACCTTCCCTTTTCATAACCTACCCCCCGGACCCAAAATATTCTCTAAGGTCTTTCCTGTTCTTTTATAACCTTTCCTTATGGATAAAATAAAAGTCGGTGGCGACTCTTGCTATCCGCAACATTGTTTAAAGTCAGTTCTCCCACCGTGTTACACCTATTTTCAACATATTTTACTTCACAAACTTAAATAACAAACAAGGGATAATGAAGCCATTCTGTAGAAACCATTCTTGCCGGCGAAGTTGCTTGATCCCAATACAAACTTGCATTTGCAATCATAATCTTGTTAGCCGTAATGACTTCTCCAAGATATATCACAAAATCTGCCATACAATTAGTCTAACATCATTATGTTGAATATCACACCACATGAAACCAATAGACATCATGTTCAACTCTATAAAAGTAAGGTTTTATTTTTATGTAATGCTTTCTTAGTCAACCTAGAGTCAGAGTTAATTTCTTTAGATTTCTGCAGAAACCATTCTGCCTGGCCAGTAGATATGACTTTTGTGGCTCCCTTAAAGCTTGCTTTTGATTATTTTTCATCTTCGGGACATGGACTCAGAACTTACTAGAATTTCTCAATTAAATAAGTTAATAGATATTCAACTTATGAAGAGTCCTTTTAAATTTATAGATATTTAGGAAGAAGGTAAATTAGGGAATAGGATATGATAGAAAGTGGCGGTAATATATGAAAGGGAGTACAACGTTGTGTTCACTATCATTGCTTTAGTCAGTATAGTGTGTTCAAAACATATGCAGGGGTCCGCCTGTTAATGTAACTTATTAAATTGTTTTTGCAGATTATAACTTATTTGTTGACAATGATGTAAAAAATAATATTAATAATTTAGTACTACATTATTTTTAAGTGCTAGCTCAACTGGAAAAAGCTTTATAAGGCTTAGAAGTCAGTGGTTTTGCTATGGATGTGATTTATAATAGAATATCATGATGTCATTTGATCCTTGTTAATTACCATATGTGATCATAGTACCCAGGCATGCAATATATTTAGGAGAAGTGGATATATTTTGGAAATGTTTCAATCCCGTTCATTTTGAAAAAATAAAATATATTTTCTGCCTAAGTATTAACTAGAACAAAGCTAATACTTTACTTCATCATAAATTAAGAGAAGTGGATAAATTTTACATACCAAAGAACACCACATGCTGTAATCACACTTGAAAGGTTTTCTTCAATACTTACATTGATATCCTGTTTAAAATTAAATGTATGTCTTGGGTTCATTTTGGTTAGTTTGTGATTATGAGGCTAGAGTGTGATTTTTGTCTTTTAATGGCATCTGATTCTATTGCTGTAAATATTTGTATTTAGAGTGTTTGTTTTTTTTTATAGGATTTGCTTTGAACTTTATTCTTGTATCTATCTATGTCTATTTTTTGAAGAAATGGATAAGTCATGGATTACTAAGCCACAATCATCGATTGCATATCAGCAAGGGATAAAAGAATTTATTGATTTTGCATTTAAAGGTGCAAAAGAAAACGACGTAGTAATATGCCCTTGCAAACACTGCGGTTTCAAAAAATCAAAGAGTAGGAGTGACATGTTCGACCACTTAATGTGGTCACCATTTCCGCAGGGATACACCATGTGGATTCATCATGGAGAGTCCTTTGTTGTACCTAGTACTATCTCCCCTAGTACTACTCAAAATATGGTTGAAGATACTATCATTTTCGAAGATCCTATTCATAACATGATTAATGATGTATTTGGAGTTGATATGAATCATGCTAATGAAATACCATCTGCGTCAAATTTAGAGATTGGCCAAGAAGATTATGTGATGCTAAGTGCAACTCAGGAAAGAAACGAAGCCAAGGAGTACTATGAATTGACTAGAGAAGGAGAACAACCTTTGTATGAAGGGTGTAGACGATATTCAAGACTATCTTTTTTGGTTAAGTTGTACCATATAAAGTGTTTATGTGGATTGAGTGAGAAGGCAATGACAATGATTTTAGAGTTAATTAAAGATGCATTTGAATATGCAAACATTCCAGGTTCGTTCCATGAAGCCAAGAAATCAATCACAAAACTTGGTTTGAATTATGTAAAGATACCTGCATGTCCAAATGGTTGTATGCTTTATTGGGGAGAAGATGAAGAAAGAGAGACTTGCAAAAATTGCAACACTTCAAAATGGAAAACAAATGAAGCGGTCTTTGTTAACAAGAAAAATAAAAAAAATTCCTGCCAAGGTTCTTCGTTATTTTCCATTAAAACCTCGATTACAGAGATTATTTTTGTCATCAAAGACGGCCGAGGATATGAGATGGCATGCAACAGATGCTAACAACGATGGAATGTTGAGGCGTCCTAGAGATTCAAAAGCTTGGAAGAAATTTGACTTGACACATACTTGGTTTTCATCAGATCCGCGAAATGTGCGTCTTGCATTGGCTAGTGATGGTTTTAATCCTTTTGGTGTGATGAGTACAAACAATAGTATTTGGCCAGTTGTTCTCATTCCATATAACACTCCTCCATGGGTTTGCATGAAACAAACATCATTTATAATGTCGATGATAATTCCTGGAAAAGAAGCACCAGGAAATAATATTGATGTCTACTTACAACCCTTAGTCAAAGAGCTGAAAGAGTTATGGACAAATGGTGTGGATACATACGATTCTTTCAAGAAAGATATGTTCAAGTTGCATGCAAATTTGATGTGGACGATTAGTGACTTTCCAGGTATGGGCGCACTTTCTGGGTGGAACACATACACAGGGTTTGCTTGCCCATCGTGTAACTTTCAAACTACACCTCTCCGTCTTAAAGCTAGTCGTAAATGGTGTTTTATGGGTCATCGTCGTTTCCTTGACCGGAGACACGGGTTTAGATTAAACAGGATCCGCTTTAATGGTGAACAAGAAATACGGAGTCCACCGAGAACATTATCTGGACATGAAGTTTTTAAACAGGTTAAAGATATTGAAGTCATCTTTGGTAAAAAGCCATTGAAAGAAAAATCGCTAAAAAGAACATTTGAGGGACAACCTATAGAAGGTGATAGTACATAGTGTGATCCTACACTAGGTCATCCTCAACAATGGAGAAAAAAGAGCATATTTTTTGAACTTCCGTATTGGAAGGATAATCTTCTGCGCCATAATCTTGATCCAATGCATACTGAGAAAAATGTGTGTGATAATGTCCTATTTACTTTACTATATGATAGGAAAAAGAGTAAAGACAATTCTAAAGCTAGAGATGACCTTCAAAACATGGGTATAAGACCTGATCTTTGGCCTGATGAAAATGGTAGAATTTCTCCGGCAGCCTTTACTTTAATGGGTAAAGATAAAAGGAATTTTTTAACAACTTTAAGGAATATTAGGGTGCCTGATGGATATTCGAGCAACATTTCTAGATGCATTGACTTAGTAAATCTCAAGGTGAATGGAATGATGAAGAGTCATGATTGTCATATATTAATGGAACAACTCCTACCATTAGCCATTCGCAATATATTACCTCATGAGATTTCAGCAGTTTTAATTGAGTTGTGCTCATTCTTTAGACAATTATGTGCCAAGGTATTGAAAATTGAAGAATTGGAAAAATTGCAAAACCAAATTGTCCTTACTTTATGCCACATGGAAATGTTATTTTCTCCCTCGTTCTTCACGGTTATGGTTCACTTGGTTGTTCACATTGTTGAAGAAGTTAAACTTGGAGGTCCTGTTCATTATCGATGGATGTATCCTGTTGAAAGGTAAACTATGTGATTTTATTTTATTGTTACTAACTAATAAAGTAGAAAGATTTTTTTAACCGATAGTATTGTGGTTCAATAATAGATACTTGGGAAAAATTAAATCGCATGTACGTAATAAGGCAAATCCAGAAGGGTCTATTGCAGAAGGATACCGTTTTGAAGAGATTCTTACATTTTGTTCAAGATATCTAGAAAATATTGAAACTAGATGGAAGCAACTTGGACGTGTAGATGATGACCCTATTGGTGATATCCAAACAGGATCACGTGTAGCCGAATTATTTCCTATATTTGGAAAACCCGTGGGTGGATCTTCTTATTACACCCTTAACACCAATTGAAAAGTTGCAGGCTCATAGACACATTTTAACAAATTGTCCAATAGTTGACGACTATCTAAAGTAAGTAGTTTTATGCCATTTAAGTAGTTTCATTTGCATTATTAATACTTTTTTTTACATCTAATATCAAATAACCAAATAGGCAGTTATGAAGTATTACTCAGAATCAAATGAAGCGCAGTCAAAGAAGTGTTGCTGAGATAGATAAGAAGGTTCATAGAGAATTTGCTCACTGGTTCCGCAATCGTGTGAGTTTTTGTACAAAAATAGATGTTTTAATTGAATTGGATTTTAATAATAACAAGACTAATTGGATGTTATATCGTGTATAGATTTGCAACAATCTTGACAACATTCATGGACCAGATAAAGATGTTCTCATTAGCCTTGCTTATGGCCCTTTTGATAAAGTTAAAAGATTTACTGCGTTCGATGTCAGTGGATTCAAATTTCGAACATTGGAACGAGATAATCTTTTAAAAACTCAAAATAGTGGTGTTTTTGGCTTGTTTGGGACGCGAAGTTATTCAAGTAATAGTGATACCCAAATGAGATTTGGAGGGGTCCCTTACTATGGAAGATTGGTAGACATTATTGTGCTTTCCTACGATGGCTTCACAGTGCCCTTGTTTAAATGTGAATGGGCTAATACCACAAACCCAAGAGGCATTAAGATAGATAAGTTGGGTTTTACTTCTATAAACTTTACAAAACTACTACATTTTGGGGAACATGAAGATAATGACTCGTACATTCAAGCGTCAGAAGTTCAGATGGTTTTTTATGTGGATGATAAGAATGAACAAGGGTGGAGCATACCTGTTCATTTGAAGCCAAGAGACTTGTATGAAATGGGTGGAAATGATGAAATTATGTCACCCATTGAGCCATATCCATCACAAAATTTGGAACAAATTTTTTCGAATGATGATATTGGAACTTCATCAGCAAATGATAACAATAATTAACATATAGTTTTTTTATTGATAAGAAATTTAGTTTGTTGCTATAATTAACATTATTACTTTATGTTTTTTGTTGTTTATCCATAATTAATGCGTGAGATGACATTACTATTCTATATTTTATTGCATAAATTATTCTTTTAATTTATTGAGTTTGCGTTATATTTATTAAATTTATAGTCACTAATATAAAATTTTAATGTTTACTATTATTAGTGTATTGTCTTTTTAATACATATACTTGCAGTTGAAGCCTTTTGTGAGACAATGATTTCATCATATGAGGAAATTCGCCTCAAAAGGATTGCAGAGAATAAGAAAAATCTAGAGGCTCTCAATCTTCCAAAGCTCTCTCAATCCCTTCACAAAACATCTTCGTCTTCTTCCAAACCATCACCGGTTAGTAATAAATTCTCAATACTAGTCTATAAAAATTAATTGTATTAATTGTTGATTGATATTCACTGATGTATTTTATTTAGCCTGTGAAGGGTCATCCGAGGTTTGTACAACCTGGAGAGCTTGAAGTAAACAAGAAGCGCCTACGTTCAGCTACAATGTGCAAATCATCAATAATCCCTCCGCCAATCAAAACTACAATAACTCTTGCACCAATCCAAACTAAAATTACCCCTCTGCCAATTGAAACTACAATAACGCATTTGCCAATCCAAACTACAAAAGATGTTGTGGTAGAAGATGAGGATGAAGATGTTGTGGTAGGAGATGAGGCCGAAGATGACGTGGTAGGAGATGAGGCTGAAGATGTTGTGGTAGGAGATGAGGTTGAAGATGTTGTGGTAGAAGATGTGACTGAAGATGTTGTAAAAGTGGCTAAATCTGTGTATTGGGATGTAAATGTCATTAGTAAGTAATTTAAGGTTAAAGTATTTGTAAATATAAATTTTTTTACATAGTTGAGTTATGACATTAATTTGCTTACTTGTTTATGTGATAGATGAGGAAGGTTATGTTTCAAATACACGTTTATGTGTGAAAGACTTGGTTGCAAAATCAAAGTCTGATGGAACATGGATAATACTTGAATTTGATAAGGATCATTGTGCAATAGAACCAGCTTCTGGTTTGTTAGCAGGGTATTTGGGTATAATTATTAGAATGTTTAAAGACTTTCCCATAATGTTCGAGAGTTAGAAGGATATTCCAGCGGATACAAAAACAAAGTTTTATGATTCAAAGATAAAGGTATCATTAATAAACAATTACATATTTTTTAAATTAATTTCAAGGTGATTATTATTTGCTTTGTTAACTAATTTTTATTTTTATGGTTAGCTCCACTTTCTTGTTGATGATGGGCGTGACAAAGAATTCATACTTGCTTCTGCTGCAAAGAAATGGAAGGATGGCCGACATCAATTGTTTCACAAATTTTATAAATGGGATCTCACTTTGGAGGAAAATCTTCAAAATTATCCAATATGCAGAGGCATTCTGGAAAATGATTAGGCTGTTTTTGTTCAATATAGGCGGAAAGAAAAAACACAGGTAACATTAGTGCTTTTATTTGTTAGATTTATCTGGTTTGTATGTTATCCCTATCTATAACGCATGTTTTTAATTGTTAACTATGTAGAAAATAGCTCAAAAAATGCCCAAAATAGAGCAAAATTGAAGACTCCACATACACTCGGATTTAAGTCGCTTGCAAGGAAGAAACATGAGTTGGTATGTCTAAATTTATATAGAGTTGAATGTATTACTAATGGTAAAAATAATTAATATATTTTCTTATTTGTAGGAATCGAGAGATGGACGAACATACAGTAGAGGAGAAATGTATGCAGTTTCTCATAAAAAGTCTGACGGGTCTTTTGTCAGCGAAGATGCATACAATAATAATGTAAGTACAAGTTAATTCTTTTTAAATATTTGTTAGTCTCCTTAAGGTATGAGAAAAAATTAAACCTTTTGGCATCTCTTAAAGATGGGGAGAACCTGTCTGAAAACTGATTAAATTAGATTGAGAATTGTGATTATTTGAGTTAATTAATTAGTCTTGTAACAATAGATTGTGCTCTTTATAAAATCAACTAATTATTCAGACAAATAGAAATAAAATATAAAATTAAGACAAGATTACGTTTTATATATGATGTGAAAACATATAATTCTACTAGTTACATACTTGTGTGCCTTAGATGAGAATAGTTGGTAAAATATATTTTCACTAAAGCATAACTTTTACAAATACTGGAATTCAAATTTTAAATAAATACAAGTAGTAAGATGAAAGTTTAACATGTATACAAATTTTACATAATCAAATATGTTATTGGAATTGAAATTTACCATCACAAATGCATACTGGAATTGAAATTTTAAATAATTCGAGCAGCCAATAAAACTTATTGGAATTGAAATCTACCATCACAAATAGATTAACTAGCTAAACTAAGTTTTAAATTACTAAAAATATTTTTCATCAATACGAATTTATCAGTTTTTGCTTATAATCATTGTTTGTTTCCCCTTAAGACGTAGGAAATTTTTTTATTAGTTAGATTAAAAAGTTAAGTTAAGTTTGCTTGCTCAATTTACTCTTTTTCATGTGCAGGAAAAGTTACAAGCTGCAATTAAGGATTCTGTGTCTGAAAATGAGGCATTTTAGAAAGTATTTGGAAAAGAACAACATGGATATGTTCGTAGTATGGGACTTGGAGTTACGCCATCTCATATTAATAGATCTACAAGATCGGCATCTTCTTCTGCAGAAAACGAAAAAATAAAGGAAATGCAGCAAGAAATTATTGCACTTAAAGAAAAAATTCAAAAATTGATGAATTGATGGAGGCAATCACATTCTTAAAGCAAAGAGACAATGCTATGAAAGAAGAAATTGAAGTCTTAATGCAAATGCAAAATTCTAGTGGAAGACAGGTATATTATTTTGATGAATTTAAAGTTAAAGCTTCAGAGTATTATTTTAAAGAATATTATTTTAATACAATTTTTTTCCAGGGATTGGAATCACCTACTGATGGTAGACGTTCATCTGAGTCTAGCTACCGAATTCCATAATGACATACTTTCTAGATTATGAACCTTCTTATTCATTTTTGGCACAATGATACTTATTGTTATAAGATTATGATTTGATATGTTTTCAGATTTTTGTATTACAAAACATGATTATGGAACTTTCATTTTACATGATTATGAAACTCACGTTTTTTTTGATATTATAATGTTTATTTGATATTAAGTTTTGGAATTAATTTTACTACGTTAAAAAGCGATAGAAAAAAATTATAAATAAAAATATTATTGTATAAATAATTTAAAGAAAAAATAATATAACTATTTTAGTAGATAATAATTTAAATAAAAGAATATATTATAAAACAATATAATACAATACATACAAATTAATAATGAACTTTCAAGATATCACATTCACGACAGTTTTAAACCGTCACAATCAACAACGGTAACAAAAATCAAAAGGATATTCACGACAGTATTTAATTGTTGTCATTTCCAATTTATGTCAGTTCCAACCAGTCGTGAAATAGAGTTCACGACAGTTATAAACCGTCACAATCAATAATGAAAATAAAAATCAAAAGGATAGTAACGACGGTCTTTAACCGTCGCCATCTCCAGTTTAGGTCAGTTCAAGCCCGTCGTGAAATATAACGACGGTTGTGTGTGACGGTTTTTTCAATCGTCGCTAAACAGGCTGGGGACACACGTTTCTGCAACGGTACTACAACCGTCGTAGAATGTAATTGATGGTGGTTTTAACCGTCGTAACCTGCCAAAATAACCGTCGTAATCCATCATTTTTCTTGTAGTGAAAGACTATAAATGAATGACAAATAAATTATATCTACATGGTAATCATTAAAATTAAATAATCAATCTCAATGTTTTTTTTGTTCACCATAATCACATTTTATTATGGTATAATAGATTTAAAAAATTTCTATGTTTTTCTTCTTCTCCATCATCAGAATTTTGGTTTCTTCACCTCTAAGAAACTAAGTTAAGAGACTACAAATGAATGACCCATAATTTATACATATGTATAACTATTAAAATAAAATAATTAAGCTCAACATTGTTTATATTCATCATATTCACTTTTACTTATGGTATATTACATCTAAAAATATTCAATATTTTTTTTCACCATCCCAAAGTTTTAGTTTTTTTTATCACTAAGCAAAAAACATAATAGACTATAGTAGATGTAAAAAATTAATTATATTTTATTTTTCTTCTCCATCACAAAATTTTATGTTTTTCCCCACTAAAAACAAAGTTAAAAAAGTATAATCCATGACATATAGTAGGTAAACAGTTAATTGGAAATAAAGTTGTGACAGTTTCAAGGGATGAACAATGACATTGAGGTTGAGTCGTATGTTGAAATGCCCAAGGACGTTCTCCGAGGTTTAAATATGAATCGAATTGAAAATTGGATAGTACGTGAGCACAATCGAAGTTTTATAACATGGTTCAAGGATCATATTTTTTCAAAGTTTTATTATGATCCCGCTTCAATAACAGAAAGGTTGAGATGTTTAGCATATGGTCCAAGTTTGCATGTGTTTTCTTATAGCGCATACACAATTAATGGATACACATTTTATACCAAAGAATAAGATGATAAGAGTACAATGCAAAATAGTGGTGTCACCGTGCTTGCCGAAGCAATGCACATTTCAAGTGTGAAGGACTTAAACCCCAAATATGTGAATCTGTCGTATTTTGGGGTTATCGAGCGCATTTGGGTGTTTGATTATGAAAAGTTTCAGATTCCTATCTTTGGATGCAAGTGGGTTGAAAATAATAATGGCATACGAATGGATAAGTCAGGATTTTTGCAAGTGGATCTTAATAAGGTGGGGTACAAAGATGAGCCTTTTATTCTAGCCACGCAAGCTAAACAAGTGTCCTATGTCACTGATCCGACAAGTACGAAATGGTCTATAGTTCTTTTTTCCAACAAAAGTAATCGACAGTAAATATAAATA